CCAGAAACAGGCAGCCTTCAGCTGCACCAGTCTGGAGCTCCTGTGTCCCCATGCCTCCAGGCCTCTGGGCCACATCATCCTCTGTTCTCCTAACCTCATGTCTCTCACCCACGCACTCTTTTTACCTAAGTGACAGGGTTAAAGGGAACGTGTTCCACCGTTAGTGGGAAATCCCTCTCGCTCGCCCTGAATAAACGGCACCCTGAGAGGAATACAATCACCAAACAGGACATCTCTCTTCTACCCAGTCCATGGTCCACGGAAGGCTCGGAGCCAGAGTCTGCTGTCCCCCTCCAAACGAGGACACTTGTGAGCACCAGACAGGTGTCGAGGAGTCCCTATTGGCAGGCCGTTCTCCGCCCACCCACACGGAGGGCAAGAACTCAGGAGAGCTGAGTCTGCCTTCTTCCCTGTCATCAGGGGCTACAGCAGTGGCCTGCTCCTCTGCTCCACTGGCCTTGAACCCAGAGCTCTTATGCCGCTCCCCTCCTGGGGGAACTGGAGGATGTGACTCTTCTCAGGCCCCACCCAGCTCGCTGCCTGGGGCTCCTTCTCCCCTCCCTTCTGGGTTGACTCCTGGCTGGGCACAGGCGGGTCTCCTAGGTGGCGCTGTGAGGGAGGTCGTTGCTCCCTGGCATGGGCACCCCCATAGCCTCTAATCGACAGGTCAGAGGGTCACCCTGGAAAGTACATGAGGCAAGCACTGCTGTCTAAGAGCCAGCAGCAGAATGAGGCCCCTCACAGAAACCCCCTTTCCCAGGGACGAGGACAACCTGCAGCCAGGACCAGTCACTCTGAGAGCCACTGGGAGCAAGGGCCAGCAGATGGTCCTGGAGGTGGGACACAGCAAGATATGATAGAGACACAACACTGGGGCCCTCTCTGCACACCCCACCCCACCCCCACCTGGCTCAGCAGCCTAGCCAAGGATGGTCTCATGTCCCATCCCAGAAACTCAGGAATCCAGGTCTGGGCCACGTCAGCCCCCCAGGGACATATGGCGAGGTTCCTCTGCTGAGGTCCTAAGCTCTGGGGCCTTGGAGGACCAAGAGACGTACCAGGACCAAGGGGCCATGCACTGCAAGGGCTCTAGTGTGGAGACCGCCCTGTTTCCTTGGGGGCCTGATGGAATAGGAGGGACTGCCTAGAGGCCAGATATCCCGTTTCCACCCAGAGGTGAGGCTGTAAGCTAAGGGGACAATGGGAACAACAGAGCCCCCAGTACCAGACCTGGGGACATTCTTGATGATGGGGCCTTGTTCCATCTTTGCCCTGCCTGGCTTCTAAGATGAAGAGTCAGCTGAGGACAGGGTCCTGTGGAGGGAGACCCCAGGGACATGCCTGCCTCCATTCTGCAAGGGTCTGGTCAAGCTGCCCTGAGGCCCACATTCCAAAAGCAAAGATGCCTTATCAGATGTCCCTGTCCCTATCTGTAGGACCCACATGCCTGGGTGGGACCCAATCCCAGCAAAAGGGGCTCTTCAGGCCCTGAGGAACCTCAAGGAGATCAGTCCCAGAGTCTTGTCCAAGTTCCCACTCCAGACTCCTCCAGCTGTGCGGCACGTACTTTGAAGGCAGTCCTGGGGCCAGCCCTCACACCTGACTCCCTGGCATGATTCATGGACACTACAATCCCTAGGTGGGGCCAGCCTCAGTCCCTTCTCCACATATGCCCTCTGGGGCCCCAGACTGGGTCTTGGAGCAATGAGAAACTGCTCCCAAAGCCAAGACCCAGCCCAAGCAAAGGCAGCTGGAGAGAGGTGGGGGCTGGCCCAAGTTCTGCCACCCCAGCCACTCCTTGCTGTGGAGCCAGGAAGTCACCTGGAAATGCAGGGAGGCCTTGCAGGGGCGCCTAGGCCTGACTGGGGATAGTCCTCTGGCTGAAAAATTAGCCCCTGAGGAACAAAAGGCCGTTCCCGCCTTGGGCCAGGCGTCCAGCCAGCCAGGAGCCCCACACTCTTCGCCCCGCCCTAGTTGCCCGAGAGAGGCTTGTGGCCTCCAGCGCTCCCTGCCCACCCGGCCCACTCGTGTGGCTTACCTGTGCTCCCTTCATGGGCACTTCTGTCTTCACCCCTGCAGCTCAGGCCACCCTGGTGCCTAGGGCCCAGATCCAAAATAAGCTCTGCCTCTGGAACTGTCAGGAGGTCTGTCTGCCTTGTGATGGGGCTGGAGAGGAGCGGGTGAGGCCAGGAAGAGGGCTGTGGGCTCATTTCCATGCGAAGGGCCCCAGGCCCCCACGAGGCCCCTGCCCCATTGTGCACCAGGCCAGGCTCACAATTGCTGTCTTTGTGGTGACCGCTCTGGCCCTCAGCACTCAGGCATGGCGGGGGTCCCGCCCCCCACTGCCACAAAGGAGCAAGGCCAGGAGGGGAAGATCTCCCCCTCCCCATCAGCTGCTGTGCTCCCCCCATACAGCAGGCCCCATGAGACAGGGCACCAGGTGCAGGTGGGATGAGGGCATCTCCAGCTGGAGACCCCAGGCTTTGAGTGTGTGAGTGCAGGAGTCTGTGTTTATGCTCCTACCCCCTAATCACAGGGACAAAGTAGTCAGCAAAGTGTCCTGAGAGGGGAGGGGGAGTTGAGTGGGCTATGGGAGCCCCTCCCCTGTGGCATCAGGTATCTGCCCTATCTGCTTCAGTCTGTGCCCCCCTCCCCATGGGAGGGATGGGGAGGCTCCACTGCAGGGCCAGCTGCCCACAGGAGAGAAGCTTGGGGTCGCTGGCGCTGGGTGGGAAGGGTCTGTACCCTCCCTGCCTGAGGCCAGGGCCGGGGTCTCCAAGCTCCCTTGACCATCCAAGCTGGAAATGAGAAGCTATGACTCATTTGGAGGCTGCAGAGGTTGGGCTGGAGCCCGTACACCCAGTCCAGCAAAAATGTCCCCTCCTCCCTCAAGCTAGAGGCCGCCTGCCCTCCTGGACAGCCACATCTGTACGAAGCCCCCTGCATCTGGCCTTTAAACTCCTCTCCACCCCCTTGCATGCTGGAAGGGTCTGCGGCAGCTCAAGACCCTCCCCCTCCACTCCTCCTACCCTACCAACGAGGGCCGGGTCAAGGGTCAAGAGCCTGTGAGCCAGTAGTTCCCAGATGTGGGCCAAGGCCCCTCCCCTTTCTGCAGGAATGACAGGCCTGGCGCGGAGGCGGGGGCGAGGCGGTGTGACGAGGGAGAAGGGAGGAAAGGGAGGGGGCTCTCCACGGGTCTCGGTTGATCTGTTTAATCCCACGCTATTCGCAGGCTTTCGCTGATGGCGGCGGCGGGAAGGGGGGCCTCGCCGCATCCCTCCCTTCCTTCTCCCGCCCCCGCCCCCGCCGGAGCCACCTGACCCGACTCGAAGTTGCCAGGCCCGCGCGCAGGGCCTTTGTGCGCACCGAGGCGGGCTCCTGGAACCCAGAGCCGGGGCGCCGCGCCGCCCACTCCCTGCCGTCCCCTCCCCCAGCCGCCGGGAGCCAGCGAATCCCTAAACTCACTGCACCCCCGCGCCGCTCGGAGCGGGCGGCCAGAGAAGGCGCGGAGAGGCGAGGCTGGGAGCACACGGGGAGCGCACCCCAGCCGAGGCCCAGCATCAGTAAGTTCACTTTTTTTTTTTGAACCTTCCGAGGTTCCAAGGCCACCAAGAAGGTCCTCGCTCGGAGGGCGGCGGAATGCCGAAGGTGGGCTGCCTTCCCGCGCCGCCCCGACCCGCGGCTCCACCCCTGTGCCCAGGACCGCCCTTCCCCCGCGCGCGGGAGGGAAGGGGCGAGCCAGGGACCCCGACCGGCCTCAGGACTCAGAGGTCGGAATAGCAGGAGGAAGCGGCCGGCGTGTGTGCTGGGGAGGCAAAAAGCTGGTCTGACTCACTGGGAGGGATCCAGCCCCACCGTCCCCCCCCCCCACGCCGTCCCGGCCTGCCCGAGAGACCGCCCGCCAACAGGAAGGGGAGGCCGAGGGTGGGTCTAGCCAGGGAAAGGAGCGGGTCTGTTAGGGCCCCGGATGGAACTGGCCCGGTACGGTCCGAAGATAAGAAGTCGGAAAACCCAACGCCCCGGCGGAGGCGGGTGCTAAGGAGACCTCCCGCTTAGAATAGAGACCAGTCCGGGAAGCCAAGGTGGGAGGAGTGGGGGGTGGGGGCTGCCGTCAAGGCCTTGCCTGTGCCCGACCCTTGGTGGGAAGAGACTGAAAAGTGCGGACGAGACTGGGGGTTCAGGCTTCGGCTTCAACACCATGGACAGCGGAGCCCGCGGCTGCGGAGCCAGGATCGCACTGGAGACCTGCCCGAGCGCTCTAGGGTGAAGGTGGGCAGCACCACCGGCTGAGGCAGAGGGAAACCATCTCCAACGAAACTGAAGCGGCAGCTCCTCTGTGTCCCCTGTCCTCCACCCCCGAGCGTCCGGCTTGGCCCAGGTGGTGCCTGAGCCGGCAGGGTGGGGGCGGCTTCCAAGCTTTGGTTGAAGGAAGGTGCTGCTTCTGCCGGCAGCGGAGGAGTGGGGCCTTGCGCCTCCGCTGTGAAAGCAGGGCTGTCCCTGACACCTGCAAAGGGCGAGGAATTGCTTCTGGGAAGGGGAGGGGCGTCCTGCTGGGTTGAGGACCTCTGGGGAAGTCGTACAGAACCACTGAAGTAGAGGCCTTCTTCCCAGCAGGCTTTCCACGGATCCCATAGGGCTGGAGAGGGTGGCAAGTGAAGGAAGCAGGACCTAGCCCAAGGTGGAAGGGTCAGCAGGCTCTGCTACGGGGCAGATGGTGCAAGGGCTGGGTTGGCCTGGGAGGAAGGAGAGCGGGACAGAGGCCTGCAGGCCTCCCAGGGCCTACTGCTTCTGTTCCTTCGCTATCTGCACTGGGAACAAAGGCTGTGGGGGAGGCCCTAGTGGGCGTTTGCTTGGGGAAGCCGCTGATCCCAGCCCTAGAAGGTCAAATCAGGGTCGCACCCCACCCCCCAAAGGACCTCAGGGTGCAGTCCTGACTTCAGACGGCTACTAAATTCCGCTTGCTTCACTGGTCCCTGCAGCCACACCTCCCACCCAGTAAGTAACGGTGAGAGAAAAGGGAGCAGAATTTGGGTGGGGAAGTGCGGGGAGGCGACCTCTATCTCCCTCCATATAAAGAGAACAGCAAGGTGGTCAGGGAGGAGGCCCGGGCGACCTTTCTTCTGGGAGAGAGGGGTGCTGGAGTGGACGCTGGGGAGCCACTGCCTGCGTGTGAGTGGCCCAGTACGTGATGGGGGAGAACCTGAGAGCCAACCCGCGGTGCAGTGTAGGTCCGAGTGCAGAGTGTGTCTGCGGGTGCCGCGAGCCGTGTGCAGGCATGGCGTGCGCGCGGCACAGCGATCTCGTGGCGGGGTGTGGCTGGTGGATGTCAACGTGCGGCCATAGGGGCTGCGGCCGGTGTGGGGTGGCTTTCGCGAGGGTGCGGAAACCGCAGTGTGTGCGGTTCGAGTGAGTGCTGAGAAGCGTTTCCTGGGCAAACGTGAGGCGGCGGGGATCCGGGCACGGTCGCGTCCGAAGAAGCTGGAGGAGCGCGCGGGGCGGGACGCGTCGCGTGTACGCGGGAGGCACCGGGGGCGCGATGCGTGTGTGCGCGGCGCGCGTGCCCCATAGTTCTCAAGGACACCTCCGGGAGGCGGCGGCGGAGCCGGTGTCCGGGTGACGTCATCGCGCGCCCCAGTGATAATCGCCCGGTGCCGAAGCCGAGCGCGGATACGCGCGGAGGCGGCGGCGGCGAGCGCGGGGACGGTCGCACCCCGGCGGGGCCAGGCAAGCAGAAGCCGGAACCGCAGCGCGGACTTCGCGGACGCTGGGCTGCCCGCCGGTCCACGGCTCTCGCGGACTTCCCTGGCTCCCCTGGGCGGCGTCCCTGGACCCTCCTCCCGGGGTAGCGGCGTTCGGGGCCTGCGGGCACCGAGGAGGCGGCGGGAGCGGGCGGCGGCGCGGGCGGCCTGGGAGTCGAGGCGGCAGTAGCCGAGGAGCAGCAGACGGCGGCGGCTCCCGCCTGGACGGGTAACTGTGCTCCGGGCCCCGCCGGGGCTAGCGGGCAAGCGGCCTCTCTGGGTCACCCGTCTTTCTCTCCAGGAGCAGCTGAAGCGCCTTCTCGCCCGTCCCGGCGCACGGGGAGGGCGACCCCCCGGGGTTGTGAAAAGAGGCGACTGGTTTTCCTCTGTGAACATCGAGGTTCTTTATTTTAGCAGCATTCAGTGCGCGCTCCTGGTCGGGCCGGGGAGAGGGCCCGCAAGGGGAAAGGCAGCGTCAGACAGACTCGCGTTGCCGGGTCGGAGCTGGCTCTGCACCCCTTGGAGGACCGCGGGAGGCTCCGGGGCGCGCGCGCGCTCGCTCACCCCTAGATTCCTGCGTCTCCCTCGTCGCGGTTCCGCGGGGCCCGGCTCCAGGAACGCCCGCGAGGGACTTGCTCGGGGGCCCTTCTTTACAGGGGGAGGGGGAGGAGAGTGGGCTCCTCTGAGTCGGAGGCGGAAAGGGGCTGCATTGCCTGCTTAGCGCAGCGCCCCGCCCCACCCGCCCAGCAGCGAAGCCGCCGGAGCGTTCACGCCCCTCGGGCTAGGACCCCACGCAAGCTGGAGCCGCGGCCCCGACCTGGCCCGGCAGCTCGCCGCCCGCCGCAGCCCTGAGGGCCCCTCTGCGTGTTCACAGCGGACCTTGATTTAATGTCTATACAATTAAGGCACGCGGTGAATGCCAAGAGAGGCGCCTCCGCCGCTCCTTTCTCATGGAAATGGCCCGCGAGCCCGGCGCGGCGCCCCTCCCGCGGGAAAAAGGCGAGACCGGCCCCCGGTGGCCCCTCGCGCGGCGGACAAATCCCGTGAACAATGCGCCCGCCCAGAGGGCGGCCCAGCTGCCGGGCCGGGGATCTGGCCGCGGGACACAAAGGGGCTCGCATGCCTCAGGCGTCTTGGGGCAGGCGGGGCATCCGCGTGGGGGGGGGGGAGAAAGCGGCCACCCGGATCCCGGCCACGTGTGTTCGCAGCCCTGAGCGCCCAAGAGACGCAGAGGGTGGCGGGGGCCAGGAGACAAAGGGAGGGTCCGCAGGGAGCTGCGAGCTCCGGGACTGCGCTGGAGAACGGGCTGTAGCGCGGGCTGGATTGGGGCTGCCCCGCCACCCACGAGCCGGCCGGGGCGCTGTCCGCGGTGCTGGCGGTGGGGCGGCCCCGCGGGACAGGGCGCCGCGGCGCGCAGAGCCAAGCGTGTCCCGAGTACCACTCACCCCCTCCCTGGGCGCCCTGGACAGTTGCCGCGGCAACGAGGGAGGGGGTGGGGTAGGGTCTGAGGTCGCTGCAAAGTCTGTCCTCCGGCCGTTCGCCGGGAGGCGTGGGGTAGGGGAGGCGGTGAGAGCTCCTGGACCAGCACCCGCACCTCTGGGACGCGGTTCACACTGCGGGGAGAGGATCCACATCCGCACCCAGGGTCCAAACCCACGGGCCGATGCGCTGGACGCAGCCCGCCCCCAAACCCCGTTCGGGGCTATGCGGGACGCAAGGCACGTGAGGTTCTGCAGCCCAGGGAGAAAATGACAAATCCCTCCCCCACCGCCATCTGCAGCCGCAGTGACACCCACTCAGGTCTGCTGCAAGCTTTTTTTTTTTTTTCCCTGTCCTCGGAAGCAGCGCCACCTGCTGGCGCCCTGGCACGCATCTCTGCGCTGGCACCCGGCCTCCTCCCACCGGCTGTTCCCTTCCCAAATGCTGCAGGGCTGAGTTGCCTGGGGTGATGGTCAGTGGAAGAGGACAACCCTTTTAAGCCCCCATCCCTTCAGGCAAGTCTCAGGTGTGGCTTTGCAATTTCCCAGTCTTTTCATTGCCAGAGGATAAGCCTCCCCTGCTGGCTCCCAGCCTAAGCAGGGTCCTCGATCTCCCCAAGTTTCCCAGTTCCAAGGGCCTAGGCTGGTGGCAGAAACCAGGCTAAAAGGACATACTTGGATTCTGGTGATGGGACCTCAGTGCAGCAGGGAGCCTGTCCTAGCCCTTCACCCTGAAATGCATCTACAGGCAGAGGCTCACCTACAGTGCCTCCATCTTCCCACCCCCTCACCAAATGAAGTCCCTGCAGAGCCAGGAACACAGTTTTCCAATCTCCTGGCCTCTGCAGGACAGGGAAGTGGCCTGGGAAACTCCAGCAAACTCTGTTCACACCACAGCACTGACCTGGGACTTAGTCTCCTCTTTCTCTTCCTCACCCATGAACAGACAGGGACAGCAGACCCCAGGAACACATCTGGTCCTGGGGAAGGGGTGGGCTCCCAAGGTCACTTCAAGGCAGTACTGAAGGGATTGGTGGGGCAGCAGTCCCTGGGTCTGGGGGTTGCTGTGGGCTCAGGAGGATGGCCCTCATGCAGCCCGAGCTTCATCTTGGACCTGCCCAAAACTCCTCTGGCCCTGCAGTCTGGACCTTCTGCCCCTCGTTCAGGAA